TAGCCCAGTGAGACCTATTTCAGACTTACGACCTGCAGAACTAAAAGACAATACATTTGTGTGCTTTTAAAACACTAAATTTGTGGAAATTTGTCATAGCAGCTGTAGGAAATTTATACAGCAGATTCGAGTGGTGTGACTCAAGAGCCCGGCATGTTGAGTTAACTGTCGTCACCATTATCCCAAGTACCGTCTTTCTAACTTAAAGCAACTTCGGGGTGGGGTGGGGATAAGGTCTAGCTAAATAAGAGAAAGAGCAAATAAATAAGAAATGAAGAGATCATGGAATCAGGAAATCTAATCCAAGAAAAAGGCAAAGGAAATCCCTAGGCTGACAGCAAGGGGAAGTCCTAGGGTTAGGACGCAGTCAGCCAGGGTGCAAGCAGCACAGACGGCAGAATGGCCATCTCCAGGATGGATGTTTCCAAGGAAAACATAGAACTGATAGATTACTTGACGTGGAAAACTACTGAGATCTAGATTTGTGCCCTGGCCGGTTTGGCCGGTCTGCCTGGTCCACCCGCGGACTAGTGAGACCCGGGTTCGGTTCGCACTAAGGGCATGTACCTCGGTTGAGGTCCGCCCTGGGCCGAGTCAGGGTTGTGCAGGTGGCAACCAATCGATGTGTCTCTCTCACGTCGATGTTTCTCTCTCTCTCCTCCTCCTCCCTCCCGCTCTATCTGCAGATAAATGCAAACACAAACAAATGTGTGTGTGTGTGTGTGTATCTCCTCCAGTGAGGATAAAAAAAAGATTTAGATTTGGTATGGCTAGCTCTTCTTTCACCCCAGCATTCAAGTACACTTGAGGTAGAACTATTCACATGCAACCCGAGGTCCTGACAGTCTGCCACTGAACTGAAACCTGGTGGCCATGGACGCGACCTCCATCACAAGAGCTGCAGAGTCAGTGCGGATAGAGAGCCTCTGTCAGTGAGTGCTGAGGGTGCACTCGGAAGCTTAGAAGCCATTCCACACCCGTTGTCCTAATCTGCAGTCCAGCTGGAAGGCCAGTGTCTCCAATGGCCCTTTCCCCATCCCTTCCCAGTCTCTCAGCCATGGTGTCCTCACATCCACCGTCCAGCCCTCCATGGTTTTCCAGGTGCGGCAGCAGCACTGAAGATACAACTGAGTGGGAATGATCCAGACCGGCAAGCAACAGCAAGGAAGTCGGGCCTCTCCCTGTGTCCAGCATTATCCAGGGCCCAGCTCCCATGACAAGGCAAAAAGAGAGCAAGCCCTCTCCCCATCTCATAGCAACTGTTCTCATAGCAACTTCGTTGGCCATAGCAACGAAGGCACGTGGCCAAAATCAGCAAAACGACTTTTCTTCACTGAAGGCGTGAAAGACTGTCATGGACACAGATTAAGAAATCTCACCCTGAAACCAAGCTAGGCCTGTAAGCAGGATCAAGAACAGCAAAGGAAAAGATTCTTAATCATTTTATGCCAAGAATTCCAGTGAAGACAGTGAACCAAAGATTCCAGGAATAAGAAAGATGAAAATGTGGACTTACGACCCAAACCCCACATCCTCACGTGACATGGTCGACACTGCCCTTGCTACTCTAACCACAGAACTTGCCTGGGTTGTATGTGTTGTGGCTGCCACAGCGCCTACATGACCAATGTAGAGAAGAATTTGGAGGTCTTCAGTAGTTAAATATATATTGACACTGCCCAGGCTCATCTGGGCCATGCATGTGTCCAGCACAGCTGTGTGAGATGCTAGGAAATACACCAGTGTAACTAACATCACAAGGCAACCATAACTGATCTTAGCAGCCAGAACATACCATGACAAAGTTGGATAAAACTACTGACCTGAGATTTGACTGCTGCTACTCAGTCTTTGTGTGTGTGTATGTGTGTTAATCCTCACCCAAGGATATTTTTCCATTGATGTTTAGAGAGAGTGGAAGGGAGGGAGGGAGAGAGATACATCGATTGGTTGCCTCCCGCACAACCATGATCAGGGCCAGAACCTACAACCCAGGTAGATGCCTTTGACCAGAAATCAAACCCATGACCCTTTGGTTCCTTGGGCCAATGCTCTAACTGCTGAGTCAAACCAGCAAGACTGCTGCTCAATCTTTGAACCTTCTTCTAAAAGGCAATCAGTCTGGCCGGTGTGGCTCAGTAGTTGAGCATGGACCCATGCACCAAGAAGTCACCGGTTCGATTCCCGGTCAGGGCACATGTCCAGGTTGTGGGCCTGATCCCCAGTGGGGGCATGCAGGAGGCAGCCAGTCAATGTTCTCTCTCATCGATGGTTCTCGCTCTCCCTCTCTCTCTAAAAACCTGTATAAATCCACCTGTATCCAGGGTTCTCCCGGTTCAGCTCCGTGTCAGGGTGGGAGAAATGGTTTGCAGATGACGGAGGAGGCACAAAATGCCCCTAGTGCTCTATAGAACCTCACAGTGTGAGAAGAAATGCTGATGAAACTGGTTCATACAAAAGATACTTTGTCAAGGAAAACAACAGCAGCTCCGCTGTAGAGTCAGAGTATAACTGAACACTAGAAAGTAGTGTCTAGTTAGCCGGTAGTGCAGATCTTACAGGGAAAACGATCCGTCCCTGAGTCAGCGCTCCTTCAGGCGCCACTGATGGTTTTCTTGTGCGAGGCGGGTGGGCCCTGCCCGGCACGGTGCTAAAATCACCGGAGTTCTGATCGTGAAAATGGGCTCCATGCCGGGCGCCGCAGGCCTGACATCAGAATGCTCTGAAGGAGACATGCTAAGAAATCTGCCTTTTCTTTGAAGCGAACAAACTGGAATTCTACCAAACTATGGAAAATCAGCTGTCGACGCTACACAACTTCTCTAAGTTAAGCCCCAGAGTTGTTTCTGGGGAAAAGAAACTTCTAATGTGCTTCCTTCAAATTCAGTAATGTTCTGAGTGGATAAAAGACACCGTTATTCTGAAAGCAACTGATGGAAAGTCAGGGAATCATTTTTTAGAAACTCTTAGGCAAGTAAAGCACAAACTACATTTAGTCTAAATCCATTGCTTCCCTTTCTAACTGGTCAATTAAATAACTCAGAAATACTCTGTTGAAGGAAAATCTAATCTGCTTCAAAGAGCACACACAGCACAAATAAACAATGATTGACCAGATTGTTAAAGGCAAACAAACAAAAATGTCCTCATGAGTTCAATGCAAGGGAGAGTTGCCACTTGGACAGCATTACAAAGAAAGACACTGCTGGGCATTTCCAACATCCACTGAATCCACCATCTCTGATGAGATGGGAGACGTGTGGAAGTCACACTGCAGTTTGGCCACACCGTGTATTATGACCTTTACTCACCTAGGCCAGTAGTTCTCAACTGGGGGCAGATTTGCCCTCTGGGGGAAATTTGGCAATAGCTACAGACATTTTGTTTCTGATACCTGGAGGTGGGGAGGGCTACCGGCATCTAATGGGTAGATGCCACGGATGCTGCTAACCATCTTGCAATGCACAGGACAAGTCATGACAATGAAGAGTTACCTTCATTGTCAATGATTCAAAATGTCAATAGTGCTGAGGGTGATAAACCCTCATCCTAGGCCAAGAAATGAAAGAGGGGACCTTTGCAAACAGTATAGATGACACCTCCTTTTGTTTTGTAATGTATTCTGGTTTTATTTCCCATGAGGGGGTCCAGCAGAATTGTTTATGCTGTTTTCATGTTGTGTTGTCACTGTTCAGGTTCTTTCAAGAGGATGGAGTGCACAGGGCCAAAGCCACAGGAAGAAACAGTCCAATTTACACTGTTTCATTTTGCAAGAACAGTTGAAGTATTGTTCGTATAAAGAGTAAATGAGCCCTGGCTGGTCTGGCTCAGTGGTTGGAGCATCGGCCCATGGACCAATGAGTTGCAGGTTCAATTCCAGTCAAGGGCACGTACCTCAGTTGCAGTTTGTCCCCGGCCCTGGTCAGGGTTGTGTGGGAGGCAGCCGGTTGATGTGTCCCTCTCACATTGATGTTTCTCTGTCTCTGTCTCTCTGTCTCTCTCTCTCTCCCCCCACCCCTCTCTCCCTCCCACTTTGTCTGAGGATAAATAGAAAAATATCCTTGGGTGAAGATTAAAAAAGAGTAAATGAGCCCTGGCCGGTTTGGCTCAGCGGTTAGAGTGTTGGCCTGCAGTCCAGAGAGACCCAGGTTCGGTTCCCGCTAAGGAAACAGCCACTCGATGTGTCCCTTTCATGTCGCTGTTTCTCTCTCTCTCCCCCTCTCTCTCCCTGCCACTCTATCTGAACAAAAAATGGAAAAATGTTCTCGGATAGGAATTTTTTTAAAAAAGAGTAAATGATACAAACTATTTCTTAATTATTTCACTATCTCAAAGTCTGAATTGTATGCAATTGCTTTAAATATAATTTGTGCCTAGTGACATATGCATTTACTAAATTATGTAACAATTTGTTTTGACACATAATTCTTTATATAAACCTGGGAGTCTATTATTAATAACCAATGAAGAATAACTAGAAATGAGATGACTAGGAGATGTTTTATAAACCTACCAGGTCTTCCTAATGTAGCACCCTGACTTTCATAGGGTATCTTATTGCTTTCCAGTTTCTATAGTTTTACTTGAAGTGTATTGTTGCAGAGGAGTACGGAAATTTACCTGAAGTAGAAGCCACGTGTGAATGATGACCTCAACTGTTACTTGGTATCACCAGTAATGAAAACGGATTTATTTAGCATAAGTTTCTTTTTATTTTTATGGTACGTGCCCCTAACGGGAACCAAACCCGGGACTCTCTGGTCCGCAGGCCAACGCTCCAACCGCTGAGCCAAACCGGCCAGGGCTAAATTTCTTTTTTATGCTGATATTGTCACAGCCACTTTTAAAAAAAACTTCTATTATACCCAAATCTATCCATAAATGTTAGTTTTCTAATTAAAAATAAAGAATAAATGGAAAACGGGACAGAGAAAATCAGAGGAGCAGTCAGAAGAATTGGAGTCCCAGAATACGAGAAGAGAAAACGGAAAACTCCAGACCTGCAGGAATGGGGGTTCCAGAGAGAAAGGAGTCGTCAAGTGCCCACTCAGTACATAAGCATAGATCCACACAGGCACTTCACAGTGAAACCTCAGAGCGCTGAAGATAAAGCTCCTGGAAAGAAAACGTGGGTCACCTGTGGGAGACTGTTTGCATGGCGTCAATTTTGTTATAATCTGCTCTGCCATCGCCTGCCCCAAGGCAGGATATCTCTGCATTCTGCATTTCTTTATCTCTGCATTTTGCATTTTTTTAAGTAACCATTTACTCAAGAAGCCAGTCTTTGCTGACCTTTTGTTCCTTTGTAGTATTTCCTAGATTTGCTTCGGGCAAGCCTGGTGCTTGGCAACAGGTGCTTCTTGCCCTATATATTGTGTGAATTACCCCTGAATAAACGAGACTTGATCAGAGTCCTGTCTTGTCTCCATTTCTCGTGTCTCTTGTCCCTCCTCATCCTCACTCCCCCTCTAGAGTCCTCGTTGCTCGACCTGCGGGACGGGTCAGTCACCTACAAAGGATGAAAATCTGAACCATTTCAGACTTCTCGACAACAGCATTAGCTAGATGACCGTGAAGCAAGGACTTCAAAATTTTGAAAAAAATTATACTTTTATATCAACAAGCATCCAAGAACTTTTCTAATGTATACACACACACACACACAAATGGTACTGAAGGTGCAGAGAGGGAGAGGAGGGGGTGGGAGAGGACAGGAAGGGCGTTAGTTACCCAGGAAAAAGACATTCAAAAAAGAGGGATCATGACCAAAATCAAACTTAGTCAATGAATCAAACTGCGTCTGTGGGGCCTCCTGGACTGACCCTTGGGTTGCTGCATGGCTGAGGACAGTGCTTTTCAAACAGACCTGAGCTTCAAATCCCACCACTGCTACTTCGCTCGGTTGTAGACTCCCAGGAAATCACAAGTACCAGGACATTGACAAGTTACTTTAGTGTTGTGAGCCTCGGTTTCTCCATCTGTAAAGTGGGACTAATAAACCTGCCTCTTGGGCTCTGGGAAGGGTCCATCCCCAGGAAGCCAGGAAGGGCTTGGCAATGGGGGTAACTGTCAGGGCTGTGACATCACCCCCTGACCGCACTGGTCTGCTCTGCCGACTAGCAGTACCCCGCACCCTCATCCCTACCCTGGCTGTCACTCCCTCAAGGACAGGGATTCTGTCTCTGCTGTTTTGTCTAGTTCACTTCTCTGTCTCCACCCAGATGCCCAGCCACTGTCAGCGGAGGGGAAGGTCTGGTTCCTGGGGACAGGGACACAGGCTGAGGACGCACCTGGTCACTGCGGGGGACTCCGTAGCGCAGCTCGTTCACAAAGTGCTCACAGTTCTCGCTGGTCAGCTTGTAGAGCATCTCCTGCCCCACCAGCTCCTCCGCCCGCTGGACGATTTTGCTGGGAGGCAGCGGTTCGTACTTGTCGTCATGTTTGTTATTGACATGGTACTTGTCTCTCCCGGCCACATAATAGAGCAGCTCCTTCTTCACTATGGCCTTGTCGGTCAGGGCGGACATGAGGCTGGCCGCGCCAGCCCCCGCGATTTCACCTGTGGTTCACAAAGAGGAAACAGAGATGGTCCTGGGCAGGCCCCGCGGCTCAGAGGGAGCTTCCCACCAGGCACCCACCCCTGGCACCATCCGCAAGAGGATGAGCAGATGTGGAAGGGAAAAGGGGAGAGGGTCAGACCCATGCTGTGTGGCTTTGGAGGAGGTGCTTGTGGTCTCTGGGCCCTGGTTTCCTTATCTGAAATCAGGAGTAGTGAAGTTCCATGATTCGTCATAATTTTCTTTAACCTAAAGAAGCTGGCCTTCTACACCCTGTGACGGCTCAGTGGCCCTCTTGGTTACACAGATGTCAGCCACCAGCACACCCATCTCCCTGGGCGAACCGAGTATGAACTGGCTGCGATTCTGTCAGGACTGCACATACAAAGCTGACTACTGCAGGACAGGTGGGTGGATTTGCAGAAGTACTTCTGCCTTTCTGAGAGCAAAGGGACCAAAATCCCACAGGTGCTCCCTGAGAGGTGACGCCAGGGAGGCCCTGAGAGGTGACGCCAGGGAGGCCCAGTGGGTACACCTGCGCAGCCCTGGCCAAGGCTGAGGGGCGGGGAGGGGCAACAGAGCTCCAGGATTGGACTGCCTCCGAGAAAGGAAGTCTGGGGTCACTATGACGACCAGGATGGTGGGGAGTGGGGGCTGATGCCGGCAGAGACCAGGCACCCTTCCCAAGGCGGCCAACCTGCACTATGCAGGCAGGTCACACTTGGAGCATGATGACCGAAAATGCAGTGTAGCAAACTGGTAGACCCAGAGAGGAGGCTCCCTCACCCTCAAAGAGCTACTATGGCCCTGCTAGGACCAGGATCCCCCAAGGGAGGCACCCTGCCACACTGGGCAGGAGACTGTGACACTGTGTGATAGCAGCAAGCAATGGCAGGGGGGCTGATCCCAGGTCCTCCTCTGCTTGGTTTTCCAAAGGACTACACCCCTTTGCCCTGAGTACAACCCTGAGATTTTATTTATTTGTTTTGTTAATCCTCACCAAGGACATTTTTGCATTTATCTTCAGATAGAGCGGAAGGGAGAGAGGAAGGAAGAGAGAGAGAGAAACATCAATGTGAGAGAGACACATCAACTTGTTGCCACCCACACATACCCCAACCGGGGCCGGGGACAAACTGCAACCAAGGTACGTGCCCTTAACGGGAACCGAACCCAGGACTCTCTGGTCCACAGCTGACGCTCTAACCGCTGAGCCAAACCGGCCAGGGCCAACCCTGAGATTTTAGAAAATCAGGAGACTTCTGACTCACTATCGATAGCACAGGAGATGCTTGAGGGGTTCACTGGAGTAAATAGAGATGGTGTGTGTGAGCCCAGCGTGTGTGAAGAGGGTCAGCTTGGGAACTGGCTCGGCAGAGCTTCAGCCCTTTGGCGGGGTGGGTGGCAGGGCTGGGACTGGGGTGAGGCAGGCAAGATGCCTGGAGCACAGAATTTCAGGAGGTACCTACTCTCTGCGTCAGGCAAGTGCAAAGTCAATCCCCGAGCGAGGGCCTCTTTAAACTCTGCGCCGGGGGCACCACCTGGTGATACAATGGTGTGCGGCTCACACTCAGAACCGGGTTCTGATTCCGCCTCCGTCACCGGACGGTCCTGACACGTCACTTAACCTTACTGAGCCAGTGCTGTGGGAATCCCCAAATACACACTGAAGTTGATACAGGAACATCAGTATAGTAATTTAAAGCTCCTTTGAAAAAATTATTTCACTTCTTAAAGGTAGTCTATTAAAGAAAACGTTAATTGAACGATTGTAGAAAGAGCACGTGGATACGGCAAACAACTGATGACTGAACTTGGGGAACCTTAGACCGGGTAGTCAGTCATAAAGGCACATCGTGGTTAAAGGACAAAATCCAGAGTCAGACAGCGAGGGTCCCAGTCCCACCTTCACCACTCACCTGCTGTGTGAACTTGGGCGCTTTGCTTACCTTCTCTGAGTCCCAGATTCCGTGTACAACAGGGACAATAACAGTCCCTCCCTGTCCCTACCGTACTGCCGGGAGCTGCAGGCCTGAAGCAGCTGGCCACGTAAGGGGCCTTCACGGGTGCGTAGCACGAGGTGAGTACCCAGCAAGTGTCAGCTGTCATTATTCTTGGGGTTGTTCTCTAAGCTTTCTTCCGATTCTAATTTCTACCATTTTCTCAGAAGCCTGGGTCAGTCCTGACCTATCTCACAAGATTCCTGCGCAGCTAGAATGAGAAGATGCTGTAGGCTTTTCCCTTTCAGGAGCATCACGTGCCCAGTGATCCGTGGCACACCTGTCCACCAGATCCCTGCCAGGCCTTCCCCGCCTCCCATCCACCTGCTGCACACACTCAGAGCGGTGATCAGCACTGAGGCCCTCTGTGTGCCAGGCCTTGTCCGAGGGGCTGGAGACAGTGGTGGAAACTAGACAGCCCCTTTTAGTGAGAGGACACTGGCTGTGCACACGCAGACCAGCAAGGTACTCCCAGCCACGCACGCGCTGTGGATTAGGGCACGTGAAGCAACTGGGGGAAGCTGACGAGGGGAGGCTGCTCGAGCTCGGACTGGGAGGGCCACCCTGGGATGGGCATTTGAGTTGAGACTTGAATGAGGAAGAGAAGGCAGCTGTGCCGAGATCCAGGGACAAGCACCACAAGCAGAAGGACACGCGAGAGCAAAGGCCTCGGGAGGGAAAGAGCACGGCGTGTGCAAGGTGCGAGGAGGCCGAGGAGGCTGAGGTCTGGAGGCCCAGGAGGAAAGCAGCGGAAGGTGAGGGTCAGAGAGGCAGGCGGAGGCCAGGCCACGCCAGGCCCCACAGGCCACAGCACACTTTGAACCTTACTCTACGTGTGATGCAAATGCCAATTAAAAATCTTAGGGAGAGGCCTGGCTGGTGTGGCTCAGTGGTTGAGCACCAAGAGGTCGCCGGTTCGATTCCCAGTCAGGGCACACGCCCAGGTTGTGGGCCTGATCCCCGGTGCCAGAGGTGGCCAATTGATGTTCTCTCTCATTGATATCTCTCTCTCCCTCTCCCTTCCCTTCTCTCTACAATTAATAAAGGGGGGAAGAATTTTTTAAAAAAGAATCTTAGGGAGAGGAGTGATACGATCGGACTTATACTTGAAAGATCACGCTGGCTGCCCAGTGAAGGAGGGACTGATCAGTGGGCAAGAGGCAGAGACGCCAACCCAGCCAGAAGCTGCAGCAGCGTCAGGGGAGAGAGGACGGCAGCTGACTGCAGGGCCCGGCCGCAGCCATGGTGACAGGTCATGGGATCTGGGTCTGTTCTGCAGACAAAGCCAGCAGGAGTTCCTGACGGATTAGACGTGGGGTGCAAAGGATCAAGGATGACGGCTAGACTTGGGGCCTGAGCACAGGAGTCTTCCATCAGGGGCACGTCATGGACACCCAAGCGGAGAGGCCAAGTAGTCAAGAGGTTCTACAAGTCCAAAGCCGGGTGGGGAGACCTACACGGAGGGTGTGGGTTTACGACACATCGACAAAGGAAGGTACTGGACGCCAGAGGACCCGCTGAGGTCACCCGGGGAGAGTAAGGGCTGGGGACACGAGAGAGGAGGAGGGGCCTACACAGGGCCTATTGGGAGAGGAACAAAGGCAGGTGCCAGGTGACCAGAACAGTGACTCTGTCAAGATGGGGAGGGTGTCTTGGTAGCCTTGATAAGTGCTGCTCCAGGACAGGAGTGAACAAGAGCGGGGGGGGGGGGGGGGGGGGGACCAGAGAGCAGGGGAAGTGAGAAACCAACAACACGCACTGTAGACAGGGGTTCGCTCTATGGGGAGTGAGAGGGAGGGGACCTGACGTGGAGGGGTGTTTGTTTTACCAGCAGGAGATCTCACGCTGGTTTCTACACCCATAGGAACAGCCCAGCAGAAAGGGGAAGGATGGTCCTGGCCGGTTTGACTCAGCGGTTAGAGCGGCAGCCGGCAGACCAGTGAGTCTCGGGTTCGAGTTCGGCCAAGGGCACGTATCTCGGTTGCGGTTCATCCCCAGCCCTGGTTGAGGTTGAAAGGGAGGCAACCAGTCAATGTGTCTCTCTCATGTCAATGTTTAAAAAAAAAAAAGGAAAGGGGAAGAATGACAGAGAGGGGAAACTTGAGGAGCAAAGAGCTTATGAAAGTGAGAAGACAGGGTCCAGGACCCACACAGGGCCTGGCTTTACAAACACAGTAGGGGCAGGGACACGTGCTGTATTTTTTTTATCCTCACCCGAGGACATTTTTCCATTTTTTGTTCAGTTAGAGTGGGAGGGAGAGAGAGGAAGAGAGAGAGAGAGAGAGAAACATCGACGTGAAAGGGACACATCGAGTGGCTGCCTCCCGTACAACCCAACCAGGGCCGGGGACAAACTGCAACCGAGGTACGTGCCCTTAGCGGGAACTGAACCCAGGACTCTCTGGACTACAGGCCGACGCTCTAACCGCTGAGCCAAACCGGTCAGGGCACGTGCTGCATTTTAACAGAAGAAAAGACCGATTCTGTGGACACAGATGGTAGTTGGGTTCATCGGGGTGGGGAGATGACATCTGCTCTAGTCGCTTCTGATTTCTCTCTAAGTACAGGCTAAGGCCAGTAGTTAAAAGTAAAGGGGTGAGCCCTGGCCGGTTTGGCTCAGCGGTTAGAGCATTGGCCCGCGGACCAAAGAGTCGCGGGTTCAATTCCAGTCAAGGACACGTGCCTTGGTTGTGGTTCGGTCCCCGGCCCTGGTCAGGGTCATGCAGGAGGCAGCCAGTCGGTATGTCTCTCTCATGGATGTCTCTCTCTCTCCCTCCCATTCTGTCTGAAAATAAATGAAAAAAAATCCTCAGGTGAGGATTTAAACAAAAAGGTAAAGGCATGGGCAAAACCCACGGCCAGGGATGTCCAAGGCGGCTGCCCTCAGAGCAGCCCACGCTGGAAACAGCCCAATGTCCATCCGCAGAAGAAGGGATAACAAACAGGTATATTCACATAACAGAAGAACCAGCATGAAAATGTAAGATTGACTGCCACTCCCAACACAGCGCCTCTCCAGCCTCAGGAAAGAGGTGACTTGTCTTCCTGTGACATTCCAGAGCCGGCAGGCAGCCCTGATCTCCAGCAGAGGAGGCCAGAACAGCAGATGCCTCTGGGGAGGGAGCGGGACACGGAAGAGGCATGCGGGAGTGGAAAGTTCTAGATATTGATCTGGGTCATTGTCACACGGATGGATACAGTCTGAAAATTGACGGACTATACATCCTAATATATCTGTGCACTTCTGTATGTTCTACCTCATTTAAATGACAAGTTTAAAAGAAGGGGCGGAGAATTCTCAGGACGACTCTCCCAGTTCGGTAATCTTAGCCCCATTTACGGAGAAGGAAGCCAAGGCTGAGCGTAGAAAGGAGATTCATGACCAAGTCTGCTGCCCAAACCCGTGCTCCCTCGGGAGCTGTACACTTCAGCGTTGAAGGTGTTTCACTCAAAGCTCAGTGTATAAAACCTGCAAGGCAGAGCTGCCCCCTTGGAAGCTCCCCTCAGACGGGCTGCAGAAACTTCCAAGGAGCAGACTTGGGAAATCATTGCCCTGCACCAAACTGCCTTCTTATAGCACTCAGGAACCAACTGCCAGTCGGGGAGCAAAGGGAACACTGGGGTCACCTGCACCCACAGCTCCCCCATCTCCCTCTCCTGCCAGCACGGTGGAGGCCTTGGGCGTCCTTACTTGGGGGGGCCAGGTGGACCACATATCCATCACCAACGTAGATGGCCCAGTGTCTGTAGAAGGGGCGGAAAATCTCAATCAGGTCTCCAGGATTGGGCTCTGGCTGCAAAACCAAGAACAGGGCTGTTAGAGGCAGAAGGAGTGAGACCATGGAACCCTGGGGCAATGGCTGGGGTCCCTGCGCGTGTCCCATAGACACTCTGCAACCTGGCCTAGGGCCTGGCAGTAATATCCTCCTGGCTTCTCATCCTGATGATAAGGGTGGTGGGTGTGTGTGAAGGAAAACTCTTCCTCCTTTCTACTGTTCCCACACCAACATGTATGGGTTTTCCATACCAAGCAACTCAATCCTCAATGAATACCAAGCACCCAGAGTTAACACAGACCCCACAGGTAAAGGCTCAGTCCCACAAGACTGTCCCCCCGCAATTCAGGTGCCAATCACAGGTCCATGTTGTCACCTGTGCCTCTGACCAACCAGCTATAGATCAGGAGTTCCCACAACCCCCTCCTCAGGTTCCACAACTTCCGAGACTGGCTCACAGAACTCATGAAAACAGTTTACTTACTTGATCACCAGTTTATAACAAAAGGATAAAACTCAGGAACAGCCAGATGGAAGAGATGCACGGGGCGAGGTATGGGGGAGGGGCACAGAGCTCCATGCCCTCTCCTGACACCTCCACTACACCTCCATGACACCTCCACTACACCTCCACGACACCTCCAGTTCACCAATCCCTTAGATCAGGGTGTGTCATGGAGGCTACAATACGCAGGCACAATTGATTAAATTGCTGGCCATTCATGATTGGCTCAACTTCCAGACCTCTGAACACAGGGTTGGTTCCTCTGACTCTGAGCCCTCATCACCTCATTAGCATAAACTCAGGTATGGTTGAAAGGGCTTATTATGGGGAGAGAAAAAAACCTACTCTTACCCAATCACTCAGGAAATTACAAGAGTTTTAGGAACCAAATAAGTATTTCTTATTATAACACAATGAAGTGTGTGTGTGCACGCTCGCAGGGGGAAGTAGGGAGGGAGCTGAAATCCTGCTCAGAACCCTGCCCTGTTAGGGTAGCATGGGGCAGAGCTTGAGAAAAGTTCAGAGAGGTTCAAGATCCCTTTCATTCAATATTATTGAGGTGCCAGTACAGACAGTCAGCTCAGTGCTGGGGGGGCAACATTCTGATTTGGACCAGAATCAGTGGTGAGAGCCTCTCGGGTCCAAACCAACCTTAAATCTCTCTAATGAGCAGGAAACCATCACTTTAGAACACCTGCAGAGCAGTGAAGGGGTGGGTCGGGGTTGCCCACATCCCACCCCCAAGCTCTGTGGTCTGAGAGATTCCACCAAAGATGAGGAAGGGAGGAGCCACACTTATATGGACTCCTTTGGGATAAAAACGATGGGCATTAGGAATAGCCAATCACAGCCCTGCAATGCCTATGAAGCAAGTAGATGGCAGTTCATTTCTATTTATGGGAACATAAAAAACTGCAAACGAAAAATGCAAATAAGCATTACATATAGCAGAAAAAAAATCTTTTCATGGGCCCTGGCCAATGTGGTTCAGTGGTTAGAGCATCAGCCCATGGACCAAAGGGTCGCAGTTTCAATTTCTGGTCAAGAGCACATACCTGGGTTGCAGATTCACCCCAGGGTGCATGCAGGAGGCAACCAACTGATGTGTCTCTCACAACGAGGTTTCTATCTCTCTCTTCTCTCTCTCTCCCTCCCTTCCACCCTTCCTAAAACTCAATGGAAAAAAAAAAAATATCCTCGGGTGCAGATTAACAAAAAAATTTTTCTTCACAGGAATTTTAAAGATATTTCTCTTATGCGGTAATTATAATTATAAATAAAATAATCCCAGACCTTACTGAGAATCTATGTCAGAATAATGGGCAGTGGTCACAATTTATGAATCCCATTTGCTTTCCAGATTTATATATATATAAATTGCTTGATGAGAGTTAAGGGGTCTTCAAGGATCCTCAAAGAGGAATTGGACTGTGGGTCTCCACAAATGAGCAAGGACATAAAGACAAAGTGCCAGCCCCCGGGGAGGCCACAGACTGCAAACGAAGAGTTTGAACCTCAGTAATATGGAGTCGAGGAACAAGCAGCCATGGGTACACAGACCACAGGCGCTCTGTGTCCCAAACATACATCAATGATAGGAGACCTACACACGGAAAAAATCGTATCACAACGAATAAAATATCGACAAAGAAACTCAGACTTTTTAACACTAAACACCAAAGGGAAAAGGGAGGCAAGCCATGATGCTGAGTGGAAGAAGCCACACCCCAAAAGCAACATATGGTTCCCCTTATGTGTCATTCCAGACTCCGCTTCGCTGTAGGACAGAAGAATGACCCAGGACTGCAGGGGCTGGCATCGAGGGCGGGGGCTGGCAGCGAGGGGGAGGCTGGCATCGAGGGGGGGGCTGGCATCGAGGGCGGAGGCTGGCATCGAGGGCGGGGGCTGAGGGCGGGGGCTGGCATCGAGGGCGGGGGCTGGCAGCGAGGGCGGGGGCTGGCAGCGAGGGGGAGGCTGGCAGCGAGGGCGGGGGCTGGCAGCGAGGGCGGGGGCTGGCAGCTAATGGACCCGAGGGGTTTCAGGACAGTCCAACTTTCTGTACTTGTTGTGGGGATGGTTATGTCATTGTGTGTTTATCAAAACTCATGGAACCGAACGCTAAAAGTGGTAAATAAGGCCTTAATTTTTTTTTAAACACTGATTTTTTAAAAAACAAATTAAAATTTCAAACATTTTAAAATGGATATGTACGGTTTGAAAGAAAAAAGTTGTGATTTTATTTTTTTAAATACTCAAATTGCCTGTCTGCTGTAAGGACAAAACACATGTGTTTCCTTATACACACAAGCTCAAAACATCAAGGAAACTTCTTTTTAAAATGAGATGAAAGGTCCAGCCAATGTGGCTCAGTGGTTGAGCATCGACCATGCACCAAGAGGTCGCCGGTTCGATTCCAGGTCAGGAATCGAACTGATGTTTCTCTCTCTCTCTCTCTCACTTCCTCTGCTCTAAAATCAATAAAGGAAAAAAAAAATTAATAATAAATCAAATGAGGTGCAAGGCGGTGGACTTGCCCACGGCGCCCTGCACGCTCGCTGGAAGCCAGGGCTCGCTGTCCACGCAGCGTCCTTCAGGCACAGTGCCGGCGGGAAACGAGGAGCAGCCCTGCAGCGCAACAGCGCCGCGTACATCAGAGGTGCCACGCGCAACCCAGTGATACCCGTCCTAGGAGAACCGTCCCTGAAAAAATAAATTTAAGAAAGCAACAGCAACAAGAAGAAAATCACACAAACTGAAGAACCGCACATTAACCGCCCTAGGATGCTGACCACCGGGAAGATGGAGTGAGGGATAATAATCAAAGGGAACAGAAAGAAAACCATATGAGAGAGGGGTCTTGCCATGAACTAAGGGAATGACTCACTTTCTAACACTAAAATCTAACTAGAGAAACAGTGGCTTAATGATATACACAGGCCAACTCGGCTGAATTGAAATTAAGAACTCAATAAATCCTGTTATAAAAGTAGAAGTACAAACCCTATGATCCCCGGGTCAGATTTGTGCCCCTGCTTATTTCTGCGCGCAAGCTACAAATGCTTGTTACACGTGTTCAGTGGTTGGAGGAAAAGTCAAAAGAACACTATTGGGTGATACATGAAATTCAAACGTCACTGTCCACAGTTTTCCCAGCCCGCAGCCACAGACGGAAACTGACATGTGTCCACGCTGCTTTCTACAGAGCAGAGCTGAGTCACCGCAGTGGAGAACACAGGGCCCGAATTCTTGAAATCTTCACTGTTGGGCCCTTGACAGAAAGTGTGCCAACTCCTGTTACAAAGGGACCGGCAGCGCGCCTCCCTCCGCAGCTTGATCCCCAGTCCTGGAATCCCTGGCTCTCCCCCCAGGAACCGGGGGACCAGCAGGAAGCACCCAGAAGAGCTGCCTCTCCAGGGCAGGGCTGGGCTCCCAGGCAGCACAGTAACTGGGCCCCTTACTGGACTCAGCGGTAACAATGGCAAAGCTGAGCCTCTTCGCCCACGAGATTGCAGGACAAAAGCCCTTTGTCCCCTCCACAAAGCAGAGCTACAAAGAGCTGTGGAACAGCCATTTTCCTTAGCAAGCAAGTTAAGGAACCATTTCTGGCCTCCAAAGTTTATATTGGAAAAACAACCTAAACAACCATGAATAAAAACCAGTTAAATATGTAGATACAGCCCCTAGAGAGAACGCAGTGGATTTACATGAGCAAACACAGAAATAAACAATAAAAACAAAAAAAAAAAAAGGATATTGAAAAACATTACTATCCCCATTTTGCTTAAAATACATTTTTGAACATTTATGAAGCAAAATATATTATACTCTATGCATGATCTGGGGAAAAGCCAATAAACTGTTGTGTATCATGTACTGTGGGGGATTGGGACTCAGGGACTTTTACATTTTATATTATATGATTTCATTGGCTTTATCCCAACATGAATTACTTCCATAATAAAAAATTTTAAAGATTTTTCAGCTGGGCAAAAATCCCTCATGTTGATGAACTAGCAGATTTTAATTGGAAAAGGTGGACATTATCTGTCACCTTGAAACCATCTCCCATCTGGAACCTGTAACTATGGCTATGTTAATGATGCTTAAATATAAGTGATATGGAGCCCTGGCTGGTTTGGCTCAGCTGTTAGGGCATCGGCCCTCGGACCAATGAGTCATGGGCTTGATTCCGGTCAAGGGCACGTACCTCAGTTGCAGTTCATCCCCGGCCCTGGTTAGGTCATGAAGGAGATAACCAGTCAATGTGTCTCTCTCACATCGATGTTTCTCTCTCTCTCTTCCTCCCTCTCTCCCGCTCTATCTGAAGATAAATGCAAAAAAAATGTCCTCAGATAAGGATAAAAAAATACACACACACACACACACACACACATTTATATATATACACATATGTAATACTTAATGTAACATAAAACCACAAAATAATTTCTCAAATAATATAAATGGATGTGTATCAGATATTGAAATTAGAAAAGACACCCTAAGGATAAAT